AGTTGCAACTCAATAAGTTGCAACTTAAGTTGCAACTAGCTAAAAATTTTAAAATTAATTACAGCTCCATCTTTAATTATTATATAATAAATTACTTAAAAAAATATATAGATTGTATTATATTTCATTCAAAAAAAATATATTTGATTTTTTAAAAATAAGTAAAAATAAAAAAATCAGTAAGAAAACTATCAAAAAATTATTTTCGAAAGGATAATTTTAATGTATTCCTAAAAAAAGTAATTAGTAAGTAGTCTGGATTTGTTCTTATTGATTGCAGCTTTTGTGAGAGAATAATATTTATCAGCAATATTTAAAATATATTCGAGATCTTTTTTGGAACTAAAAAACCAGTTTGTATCATCCATATATCTAAGAAATGAAATATCAACAGAAAGAAAAGATGAGATCATAATCTGAGATCCAAGTGTGATTTAAATTGTATCCTTTTTTATAACGATCGATTTCACATAGTAAAGAATCAAGGTATATATGGGGCCTTTGCAATAAAAAGGGGGAAAACAGCCGAAAAAATCAAAAGTGAGTTAATGCTAAATTTGAACATATTTCTGCATAAAATCATATTTAGCATATAAAGTAAAATTAATTTTTTTCGACAGTTTTCCCCCTTTCTATTGCAAAGGCCCCATATGTTAAAGCCAAATGTATTAATGTCTGAAATGATCATTTCAGATATCCCAAATCAGAATACACATTTAGGATATCTCAAATGTGAAGATCATTTCAGATATGCGCTAGCCTAAATATGCATTATCCCAAATAATATTCCAAATGATCATTTCGGATAATGTTACAAATGATTATTCGGATAATATATCAAATGCTTACTTGGGATATCCTAAATGATCACTTCGGATATCCCAAATGACCACTTTGAATAATATCTTAAACGCTTCTAATTGTTTATTTTGAGATTATTAAAATTGATTTACATTTCTAAATTGGTATTTAATTTTCTAATTAATTTTAGTATGCAAAATATATATAATTTTTTTTAAAAAAAAAATGCCGCCAATTTTTTTCCTTACAATCATTAATAACAATAACAATGAAAGCTTTTAGTTTTATTTCTCCTGAAGTTTTGAAGAACTTATTGCCCAATATACCAATTCTCTAAAAAATAAGAACAAATACAATATTTATTTAATTGATCAAAATATATATTAAAAAATTCTTGGTTGGTGGAAATATACAAAATGCTAATTTTAAAAGATTGACAAGAGCATATTTTTGCTATATTACTGTAGGAAATGATCATGTTGTACATATTTCATTCAACAATAGAACAACAGGTGCTAGAAATAATGTCAACAAAAATATTCGCTCATTATCAGTTTTAATTAAAGAAAATATGTATAAAGTATTTTGTTTAGCCTATACTGAAGTTAATCACAAAAAAATAGCTAGTATATATGAAAAATTGCACAATAAATGGGATAATATTAACAAAAAATTGGTTGAACTTTTTTGTGAGAATTGTTCTATTTATGTTATTCGTATAAACAGAAAATTTAGTAATAAAGTAGCAGGAAAAGAATTAATTGTTAAAAACTTTTTATCTCATTTACAGGTATAATAATTATGAAATATGTTTTAAAATATTAAAATATAAAACTAAAATAACACTAGTCGAACGGTGACAAATAGGGGACCAATCAGGTCAAATTTGGATTGCTAGATTTGATCTGATTGGTCCCCTATTTTTTGTTTTTTTAAAATCAGATAATCCCGATTGATGACAAATAATAGGTCAGATAGGATACAATAAGGTTCCAATCAGGATATTATAAAGATATCAATAGGGTTATTTTTATTGATATCAATTTATTAATATTCAGTTTCCAATCGGGTTATCCCTAAGTCATCAATAGAGATATTCTTATTATTACTTATTATACAAATAGCATATCCCGATTGGTAACATTTTATTAAATTTTTATAATACTATAATTGTTTATTTTATACAAGTAAGTAATCCTGATTAATTACATTAATATAATACTTTAATTATAAGAAAAATACATTTATAAATAATAAGCTTCCGATTGTTACAAATTTATTAAATTTAATTATTTA